ATACACATATCAATAAAAATAAAAACCCCTCTAAAACCAAATTAAAACCAAATATTCGAAGCTGTGTTCCAATTAAAATTATACTTAAAATCGTCCCTAAATAAAATCCTCCTTAGGTCAGGCCCGCTTGCTGGAAAAGCCATGTCTTGAGGGCGCGGCGGAAAGTAAGGAGATCCGGAATCATCCGGATCTCGGGGGGAGCTGCCGTATTTTTTCTGTCTGGTAGAAGCATTTGATTTTCCCACATAATATAGCAATGATTGCGTTGGCTAGGATTTCTGAGAGTTACAGTCCTAACAAATCTGGGGTTTGGATAAGGTAAGCATTATTCTCAGAGACTGGGAGATAGGTAGCATAACCTTGTGCTAATAAATAGCGCTGATTTTTAATCATGCTTGCTAGGAGGAGGGAGAGTCTTCCATAGAAGGCAGCCCATCTGTGGTGTATCAAATGGCCACTTAGACTTGGAGTCACCCAAAGGTTGACTTTGGTATCTGTTGAGCTGATACCTCTTTCTGATCCTTTCTTATATTTTGTATGTAGTTGATTTAGGTAGTAGTAAAAAGTTGCTTAAGGTTAAAAAAAACACTCTATAGCAGAGTAAAGTTTATATCACTACCTGATCGGGATTGCTGGTGGCATGCACGAACGTGTTCCTTCCTTGTTGGGGCAATTTAATTTATAAAAGAAAGTTAAAGTGGCAGTCATCCCTCTTAGCAGTTGCAAACCTGAATTCTTTAGCAACTTTGAACAGTGATAGTTCAAAATAACAGTTAAGCACAATTGCAACTAAGCAAAGAACAAAAGGAAAGAAACTTGGTATATTTATCAGAGGTTGTTGGGAGTTAATAGTAGCAAGAGGGCTAGTATCTCAACATTTTGGCTGCTTCTAATCATGCAACAGTCATCCAGCTTTGCAGTGCATTTGTTTTTGTTTTTTTAAATGACATTTTACTGTACATATGTTAAATTTACATTGCCCTTCATTTTCTCATATCACCTAAGAAATGTTTATTGAAGTTTTGGCAGTATTTGATTTGAGGTCCATTTCCTATGCTTGCTTACATACATATTTGGAAATACTGGGTTATATTATTCTTACCTGTAAGGTACCATTAGATAATCAGAGCAGTTTCCAAGAAACTGTTTCTTGTACAGTTCAGGTAATGTCAGAATACAGTGGTCTGATTATCTATCAACAACCATTAAATTAAACTTTCAAATACTCTATTCTTGAATCTGAAACCAGAATGGCTTTTAATATGACTTAAAATGGCCCTCATGCTTTGAGAGGAGGAACTGAACACAGTGCATGCTAAGCTTATATGACTGGATGAAATATGAAACTTTTTGTTCTGCAATCTTGCCTTTACGATTTCCTATCACCGTTCGGAACTGTGAGTGTACAAGAGCAATAGGGACAAAATTGTTAATGTAAATTAATTGTTAACCATAAGCCTGTAAACATGGTCTCAGAATGACTGGAAAAAAAATACAGTGGAAATGGGCAGGAGAACATAAATGTTTTTAAATTGGCCTCAAAGCATGTTATTTGCTCCTTATTAATACAGTAAGTTCAGAAGCTGTTTATGTACAAAGGTTTTTTTAAGCTAGGGAGGGAGGGGTAGGGAGTCATCTAATTAACTAAAAGAGTAGCGTGTATATGTAAAGCATTCTTGCCTTTTTTGTAATATTAATGGACTAGTAACATTGTAAACTATTTACATTTATGCTAATGGGTAGCTGCCATTCTGGAGTCAAGCTATTAAAAGCTGCACTTTCTAAGTTTGCATAAATATAGATGAAGGGACATTCCATCCACTTTCTGTCTCCTAAATTACTGACTGAAATGTTGGGAGTATAGAGAGCTCCTACTAGTCACCCTCCTTTTTTAATATTTGGCATTGAGTTCTTTAGGCTTCAGCTATCATTATGTTAGATCCTAACTTTATAAGTTAAAAACACATGAATAGGAATCGTAGAAATAGATAGGATAACATTTTCTGCTTGCAAACTGATTAATAGAACCTCTTTTACAAGCTTTTGTAAAATGGGCCAGATTTATTTTACTGATTTTTTAAAAGATTTTGCTTGAATATGCTTTTATTCCATACGTTCAAACGATCCCTTGGCACAATTAACTATTAACAGTTTCATTTCTCCCTAACAAGATGTCTGGTATACAGCATCAAATTTATACTGGATAAAGTTTCTGTCTTCCTGGTGAATTAAACCTAACTTTTAAAACTTGATTCTTATCCTCCCTCTACAGGCGAATTTGCAGCGTTCAAGTAGCCACAGCATCATTGGCAGCAAATCCACTCTTATTTTTAAAGTCTTGTGTTCCGACAGTTTCTTTTTAGAATATTCAGACTTGCTTGTGCTCCTCTAAACACTGCGTTTAGAAAAACTATAGATCTGTACACTTAGGTCAGATCAGAAGGGAGATCCCAATCCAACCTTGGGGTGGAAGGGAAAAGCTCTTGTTTGGGACAAGTGCTTTCCGCTGCCTCTGTATCCCCCCTCCAACAAAAGTCATGTGCATTTGAAGATCTCTAGTGGCTGCCTGTACCGTTGGCATCATTCCCAGGAAAGAGGGAGGGCTGCGCTTTGACTTTCTGGTGCTGTGGCATGATGAAGTTGGAACTCCTTCTGCATCATAGGCTTGGGATGATCTGCTGGCCGGCTTTCTCCCTCTAACAACGATTCATCAGAGGCTGAACATCTGATGAGACAGAGCTAATCAAAACAATCATCTTCTGGTTTGATTTTATTTTGTGTGTGTTTTCCTTCCTGATCAACAAAATAAGTGCGCTGTTTCCTTTTCAACTGAACTTTGCTCTTTTGATTTCACAAAACAAAAATTCAGTCAGAAGAGTAAGTCAGAGTCATTTGAAAAGGAAAGGCAATTCTGCACTTTCCAGAATTGCTTTTACCTCCTATTCAGAGCCATCCTTTTCCCCATCTTTTCCTTTTGTATACTTTTGGAACGGGTTAGGAACCCTTTTTTTGTCGGTCCAGCAACAAATGTTTTTACAAAACAGTAGCAAAGCTCAACACGCGTGGCTTCTTTTCATTTTGTATTGCGAATCTGAATCTATGTTTTGTGTGTTGAACTTTTTGGGAATGCCCAGAAAGTCTGATACAGACTATGAATAACAAGTGTACCTATTTTAAAAGGTACAAGGTAGTGTCAGGTACCTAACGTTTCATAAGCAGACATTCTCAGGTTGAATTGAATACATTTCAAAAATGAAATCCAGCCACAACCTTCCCAAAAATTTGACATTCCAAAAAAATGTGCTTTGGTACTTTTTTTTTAAAAAAAGCAGAACTTTTAAACATGTTAACTCAGCAAACTGTGAATGAACACTGTGTGCACGAGAGAGAGAGAAAATGCAGCAAATTAGCTTTAATGGCACTTTGCTGTTTCTTTTGTTGTTTTTCTATACAAATGGTACTTGCTGGATCAACACTACTCACCTTGCCTATTCTCACCTTTTCCCATGCAACTCCTTTTCTTGCCCTTATTTTGTACCCTTGGTGATTGCATTTTGCTTTTCTCTTTATGCCTTGCCCTTAAATCTAATTTGCAAAATGGTTTCTGGTTCTTATTATTCAAACAAGATAAAATGATACAAAAATCAGATGTTAGGTTATCTCTAGTAGAATTATGAAGCTATATGAATTATGAAGTAAGTGGAATTCTCTATGGTGTGGTGATTTTCTTTTTTGGAAAAGGGTAGTTGTGTGCCACTGGAAGAGAATTCATAAGAAGAGAAGCCTTGTTACTGTATCCTGTATTGATAGATAGGAAGCTGGAAATTGCAGCCCCTGTGCTAGTATAGTTTCTAGTGGATGAAACTAGATTATTTTGTGAAAAAGTCAAAATTAGAGTTAACATGTTGATTCTCCAATACTCCAGATCTGTTACTAAAAAAACCAATGAAAGATTATTTTTTTTAGCAAAGCTTTGTTCATAAAACTTGATTTTTTTAAAAAAAAAATTACCTTCATGGTAAAGGAACTATTTAGTGTATTTGATTTTTTTTTTTATTGAACCAAGGTACTTACAGAAATGGGAGCAAGAGGCATAATCAAAAAATAATGTGTATTCAAATACTTAACAGGATAGTAAGTGAAACTGCTTGGCATTATTTCAGGGAAGATGCATTTCTACATACAGTAAGCATCACTGAAGTGAGGTGAAGTGATGCTGGAAGTCATAGATGTGTTCTTGGATGACTCATTTTCACTTCAGTTATTGGTCTGCTTTGGGGAAGCTTTCTAAGTATTTATTCAGAACAATGAGATTGAATCAGCTTGGGTCATCTTACAAAAAGTGCATAAGGCATGTTACAATTGTAAAGCACAACTTTAATGGTGGTCTGCAGTAATTGTTAAGTTTTCAGAATACAGATTCTCTTTTCAACTCTTACCAGTTCCACTGCCCTCCTCACCACCCCCCACCATCAGTAATCTATCTTAAAAGGTGAATATCATGTGCAGTATGTTGAAGCATGTATATTGTGTTTTGAAGAGAGGAAAACTACAATAAATCTTCACTGTCCTCTTAAATTCATGCAGAGAAAACATGACAAAGTAGTAAACCCTTCAAAGCCAATTCTTCTCAGATACAAAAACATTTGTTTATGATTAGATTTATATCCCACTTTTATTTTGTACAACTCAAGACACATAGCATGCTGGGCAACAAAGAGTACTTTTGGCTCCCTAACACTAAATATAGACCAGTGTGGATCATTTGCTAAGGAATATTCAGTCCACTCATATCCTGTCGATTGACAGCAAATAAAACCAACATTCTTTCGGACTTCTTTCTTCCTCCTCCTTAGATATTCTGCATTTCCCAAGGAAAGCTACCCACTAGCTTATGATTTGGGAGGGGGGAATATTAAATATTGGCATGAATAAAAATATTTGTGTTTTGCTTACATGCCATTAAAAAGTCTGAAAAATATAAGTAATAATTCCAGTTGCTTCATCAAACTATGCAGCATTGTGTCAGTGAAAATAAGCAGTTCATGAAAATTCTAATTACACTGACCGTATTATTGCTCCAAATGAATAAATTTAGGATAACCATTTACCAATGCCCCTTCACTCTTGAATCCCAAATTGTTTGATTTTAGATATTCTATATTTGCATCAAAAAAACAAAAAAAGCAGGACCATACACCAATCTGTTTGTTGGTTGGACTGGCTGTACTTACAGCCTTATTTTTTTTTTTTAAATATTCCTGCATTTATATCTTCTGTTTCATCTTTACTTCCCACTTTGGATGCTAAGATTTATAGCAATTGTTTTTCTTCCTCCAAGCAGCATATCCATGTCATTCCCATAAACTTCTCTAAAATATTGGATGTTGACATCTCTTCTATACAGAATTCCAGTATATTCCTTCCATCTTCATTGGATCTTGTCTAAATTAGTTACTGTCTATCCACTGATGTCTTTTATGTGTACCTATTTGGAGTCTGAACTTCCTCCTGATTTCAGAGATCCTTTGGAAAACTTATTTTTTGTGTTTGTTTCCATTTTCATTGTCTTTACAAGTGTAGCGATAACACTCTGTAAAATTCCTGAGATTTTTATTTTGGCTTTGGCTTCTTTTGGCAAGTCCCACCATTTGTTTTGACACTTCATGGTTTTTTTTTTATTTTCTTTCTTTCTTTCTTTCTTTCTTTCTTTCTTTCTTTCTTTCTTTCTTTCTTTCTTTCTTTTTTGACAGTTTCTTTTCATGTTCAGTAACTTTATTTCATTCCACAGTTCCTCCAAATCTATATCAGTGAGGTTAAGGATTTCAAAGCAATTTCTGATATTCTCCTTGAAAATAATAGGTACATGCCCCAAATCATTTTTTTCAAAATCTGGCTAAATTTATTCTTCCACTGTATCCTGGCTTGCAACAGTTTGTGATTTGTTTTGTAGTCAGCCCCTAGCCATGTCTTTGCTGAGCTAATTCACCTCCTTATACCAGCAATACAGTCAGTTTGATTTCTTTGTGTTCTCTCTAATTATGTCCATATACATAGGAGAGGATTTTGTTCCTTGAAGAATGTCTTAGCAACAAAGAAATTGTTGGACTGGCAGAAACTGCTAAATTATTTTTCTGTTTCAGTTTTCTTGGCCATAGAGTCTTTAGTTTTCCTCACTGTTGCCAACTATGGCATTCCAGCTTCTAACCTTAAGCAGCACAACTTTCTTGCATGTTCTAACAGAATAACAGAGTTGGAAGGGACCTTCTCATCTTCTAGTCCAGCCCTTTGCTCAATCAGGAACTCATTAATATCCTCTTCGGCATCACTGTTTGATAACCGTATTATAAAAGGGCTGTCTATGAAGACTAACTTGTATTATTCAGTCATTGACTGCATTATATCCAAGTACTGTCTTTCCTTTCCTTCTTTGTTTTTCATGGGCTGGGTGATAAATAGATCTTCTGACTGGAAGAATCCAATTCCTGTACATTTTAACTCACTGATGCTTGGGATTTTAGTGTGTAGTTAGTTCTCCGTGTTGAGCTTTTCCATGTTCATGCTTTTTTACATTCCATATTCTCACTGTAATTCTGTCTGTACAACTTTGGACTTTCCTTTCCTCCATGGCAACATCTACAACTAAATAATAAAGAAATTATGTTTGTTGTTTTCACTAAATCATTCATGTATTTCTAGCATCTTCCTGTATTGCTGCTCCCTGACATAGATACTTGCTTGTTTTAGCTAGATGACTTCCACACCTTATATGACCCTGCTAGAAGTATAAAGTTGTGGGGGAATATATGAATAGATTTTTGTTTAAATCTCATATTCAGACATAATTTTTTTCTAAGTAGATATCCACCATTTTTATTCCTTATGACATCCCTAAAGGGCCCAATCTCTTTTGTGTATTCTCTCACTCTCCATTCATGCTACCCCAAAATATATTTTCCCCAGTTCCTCAAACTCATTCTTGGTTCTGTGAGTATTCACTGGTACATAAATTTATGGATTCATGTTTTTATATACATCTGCAATAACACAGGTGGTGCTAGTTCCTACATGATAGCCCTTTAATTCATAATTAAACGTATCTTTATCAACTCCACAAGATCACACACTATTCAAATCTACATCATTCCCATTTTTCTTAAGACTTATTTTTCATTCTTTTCATTTGTTAATTCATGATCTTTACAGTTTACTTCTTTTCCAAGTTACAGTTTTTCCTCCTCATGGTATTGGACCATCTGGGATACTTTATAATGAGATAGAATAAGACTAAAACA